GGAAACACTGCATGGTTCAAAATTGGGAAGGGTGTACGCCAGGGATGTATCCTATCTCCATACCTTTTCAACCTGTATGCAGAACAGATTATCTGAGAGGCTGTGCTCTATAAAGAGAGGTGTGGTATCAGGATTGGTGGAAGATCTATCAACAATCTGCGTTATGCAGATGACACAACCCTGCTTGCTGAAACTGAGAAGGACCTGAAACGCTTGCTGCAGAGGGTCAAGGACTGCAGCCTTCTCTATGGATTGAGGGTAAACATCAAGAAGACAAAGATTCTCACCACTGGACCAAATGGCAGCATCAGGATGGATGGTGAAGAGATTGAGATTGTTAATAACTTTAGTCTGCTTGGCTCCACAGTCAACACTCTTGGCACCAGCAGCCAGGAAATCAAAAGATGTATTGCGATAGGAAAGGGACCTCTCCAAAGTACTGAAGAGCGATGGTGTCACTCTGGAGACTAAGGTGTGTCTGATTGATACAGGCCATGGTCTTTGCAATCATTTGTTATGCATCAGAGGGTTGGACAATGACTAGGGAGGATAGAAGGAGAATTGATGCCTTTGAGCTGTGGTGCTGGAGAAGAGTATTAAGTGTACCATGGACTGCCAAGAAAACAAACAGCTTCAACCTCGAGAGAGTTAAATTGGGCGGCTTCTTGGAGGCAAGAATTCTGGAGCTTCGTCTGACATACTTTGGACATGTTGTAAGGAGAGACCAGTCCTTGGAGAGGGACATCATGCTTGGGAGGGTGGAGGAACGGCGCAGGAGGGGAAGACCCTCTCTGAGGTGGATTGATTCAGTGACTGGGGTAATCCGGATGGGTGTGTTGGAGGCAGTGCGATTGGCACAGAATAGAGCATGGTTTAGGTCTGTTGTACATAGGGTCGCTATGAGTCACAAGCCACTTGACAGCACACAACAACAACAACATGTACATGAATGGGAAAAAACCACTATGTACATTAAAGAAACCATCTAAATGCATCATTGTAGGCAAATCATTTAAATCTACCACTGAAAAAACTTGGATAAACTTCTTGGAAGAGATTAGCAAGAACAATTTACCCATGTCCAAGGGCAAAATATATTACTGATTCAAGATCAGGGTTGTTAGGTGCTGTCAGGTCAGCCAGATTCGCAACAACTTTACTGACGAATAGAAGAACATAGTGCTACCCAGTTCTGCCCCATCCTCACATACACAGGTCCTGCTGTTGCTAAGCCCATTGCTGCAAGCACTCTGTCAGTCCATCTCGTTCAGACTCATATTTTTCACTGATCCTCTATTTTTCCAAGCATGTTTTCCTTCTCCAGGGACTAGCCCCTCCTGCTAGCATGTCCAAAGTGTGTGCGATCAATTCTCACAATGTTTACTTTTAGGGATCTTTCTGACTACATCTCTTCCAAGATCAATTTGTTCTTTTGGCAATCTGACATAGTATTCTTCACCGACATCACAATTCAAAGGCATTAGTTCTTGAGTCTTCCTTATTCATTGTCCATGTTTTATGTGCAGTTGAGGTAATTAGGAATACCATGACTTGGGCCAAGGTGCCTTAGTCCTCAAAGTGATATCCTTACTCTCCAGCATTTCAAGAGGTCATTTGCAACGGAGTTGCCCAATTTGTCTTTTTTTAAAATTTTATTTTATTTTAAATTGTGAGTTAAGTAAAAGTTCACAGTGCAGATTGATTTTCCATGGTCATTTGATTTCTTGACTGTTTTCATGAGTGTTAATTGTGGATCCAATTATTGCAACTTGAGGTTAATTCAAAACCATAGATAATGTTAAGTAGTACCTCTGACTTCTCAGACATTTTTGTCTAGGAGTTTGCATTTGCAAAAGGAAATTGAGATTTCTAAAGATTAGAGATGGCTTATCCATATCACATAATGAACATATTAAATGTGAGATCTGACAGTATACAGTAATATGCAAATGTGATGTGTGTGTCTAAACACTTATCAAGGGACAATATATTAATATTTTTGGTCTGCCTTACTTCTGTTTTTCAATCATATAATTTCTTTACTTACCAGAGGTTTTTGTAGCCCCAAACCAACAGCTTATCAGAACAGTTTTCTAATCTTTTCTAGTAAGAATCTGAGATGCAAACATAAACGAATACATGACTTTTCACATTTATAGGCTAAAAAGGGGTCTGTGTTTGCCTACTGGGCAGGAGCTGCACTGCCAACTCAAATGCATGTGGTTCGAATCCTGGAGAAAGATGGCCAGTCTCCTTCTGTGTGATTTACTCCTGTTAAAGGGTCAATTATGAGTTGGTTCTAAGTCAACAGTACCTAACAACACAACACAGGCTCAAAAAATGTCATAACTACTTATGCTGACATTACATTTTTTTCCTAGGAAATACATAAAAAGCTGACTTCATTTACTTTGCCAACTTTATAAGGTATAGCTTCTAGAAAAGTATACCAGGAGGACTTGCTTTTAAATTCTGTAGTTATTTTGGAGTACCTTAGTCTCTAAGTGTAATATGTGATTCAAACAAAATAATCTCTGAAGCTTACAAGAAAGTTATAAAAATAATAGCACAATACCTTTTTCCAATTATTTCTATTTTTCGATGTCTAGTGCCATCGGAACATTTTCTATACACTCCAGAACCCCTGTGGAAGGAGCTGTCCTCACAACATGAAGGACTGGAAGAGTTACTAAAGGAGGAGTTGCGTCCTTTCTCCAGGGGACTTTTGATCCTTTCTAGAAGCTGGGCTGTAGACCTGAACTTACAAGAGAAGCAGGAAGTCATCTGTGATGCTCTCCTGGTTGCACAGAACAGCCCTCCCACTCTCTACACCGTTCTTGGAGGGCAGGATGCAGAGGCACATCGCTACTCCACCCTTACTGCATTTACTTTAAAGCAGAAACTGGTCAACATGGGTGGTTACACTGGGAAACTGTGCGTCAGGACCAAGATCCTCTATCTGAATCCTGAGAGCACTGTAGAGTCCTTGCAGGGTCCAGGCTCACAGATAGATTATCCTGAGTCCTATCATCTTGCAAATGCCCAACAAATGGAAGCCTTGCTGCAGTCCCTTGTGATCATCCTGTTAGGCTTCAGATCTTTCCTAAGTGACCAGCTCGGCTGTGAGGTTTTAAATCTTCTCACAGCCCAACAGTATGAGATATTATCTAAGAATCTCTCCAAGTGCAGAGAGCTGTTTATCCATGGTTTACCTGGATCAGGGAAGACCATCATGGCCATGAAGATTATGGAGAAGATCAGGAATGTATTTCACTGTGAAGCACATGAAATTCTCTATGTTTGTGAAAACCAGCCTTTGAGAAATTTTATTGGGTAAGTCCTTAGATCTTCTGAGTATATGTTGTTAGGTCCTGTGGGGTCAGTTCTTACTATATTATAAAATGAAACATTCTGCAACTTCCTCACAGTAGTTGCTTTGTTTGAGAGCATTATTGTTCTCATTGTGTGTTAATCCTTTTTGTTTAGGGATCTACTCTTTTTTGATGACTCTGTACAAAGTATGATGTCTTTCCCCAGGGACTGGCCCTGCTGGACACGTCCAAAGGATGTAAGACAAAGTCGCTCCATCCTCACTTCTAAGGAGCATTCTAGTTTTACTTCCTTTAAACAAATTTGTTGTTCATAACTCTGTCACAACCCACAACTCAAATGCATCAGTTCTTTAATTTTCTTATTTCACTGTTTAGTTTCCATATATATATACATATATATCCATTATATATATATATCCATTATATATATATATATCCATTTTATATATATATATATGTACTAAAAATGACAATGAAAAGAAGCTGTGTTGCAATATGAAAGGCATGAAGTTCAAATTCACCAACTGCCCCATGGAGAAGGATGGACAGTCTCCTCCAGTGTTATTTACTGCCTCTGTAAACTTGTTGGAAGGTTAGCTATGAGCAGGTTCCAACTCTGTGACACACAACAACAACATCATGACTGTTCACAACAAACACATGAAGAAATACTCAGGATACTTAGCTATTGGAAAGATGCAAATCAAAGCAATAGTGACCTATATCACCTTACCCCATCGACCATAACAAAGTTCAACAAGACTGCAAAAACAAATGCTGGTGAGAGTGTAGAGAGATTGGACCTCATACACTGTTGGTGGTACTGTGAAGTGATGCAACCACTATGGAAAGTGGTTTGGTGCTTCCTTAAATAGTTGAAAATAGAAGTGCCATTTATTCAGTATTCCCGCTACTAGATATATTCCTAACAATATAAGACTGTAGCATAGATATATGTATACTTCTGTTCTGCTTTAGTCACAATAGCAGAGATTGAACAATCCAAGTGTCCATTAGTGGACAATGGGTAAAGAAACTATGGTACGAACAATGGAGTACTATGCAACCCTAAGAAACAATAAAAAATTCATGAAATATTGTGTAAAATGGATGCATCCAAAGGACATAATACTAAGAAAAATAAGTCACAAAAGGGCTATTTTATAAGACCACTATTATATAAACACAAGGAAAGGTTTCTACACAGATTTCTTAGATAGTTGTCAGGAAAAGGAAGGAGAGATAAATAAAATTAATAAGTAGACAATAGACAGTTGAGAAAAGGGGTGAAGGAAAAGGCAATATACAATAAGTGATGATTAGGCATTGTAGGTATTATAATTAAGGTTATAAAGTAAAATATGTTTTAATTACTGAATGAAAACCAAGGTGCTTTATAAACTTCCACTCAAATCACAATTTTAAAAGGTTTAAAAAATACTGTGGTTTAAATCAGGCACACTTTAGTCATGAAAGTGATATCATTGCTTTTTAAAACTTAAAAGAGTTAAGGGGGCAACATTTGGTCCGGAGCATGGAAGAGTGAAGAAAATTCTAGCTATTTGGAAACAGTGAATCCATAGCACCAATGGTCCTCATGATCTTTAACGTCTATGGTACTGCGACCAGAAAAACTAAGTTCTGTACCACTGCTCATTGCTCTGAAAAGGGATCAAAATAGAAAGTCTTGGAAGATAAAGGTAGAAGAAAACACAGTATTACAATGATGACCAGGCTTAAAGGGATCAGTGAGACCCCTGAGACTGTGACCTTTAGCTGCCTTGGTGGCATAGCTTGCAAACAAAAAAATAGACAGTGGGCGAGCTCTAGCAGTCTAGTGGCAAGAAGCTGCACTGCAATCCCAGAGGTGTGCGGTTCGAATTCACCAGATGCTCTGCTGGAGAAGGAGGGACAATCTCCTGTACCAGTCAGATCTGATTTGATGGTACACACATAAAAAATAGTAATAATTTTTTAAAAAATTGGATTAAGAAAAAATAGATATAAGGTGAAGACCACTGCCAGAGAGATACTTACTTCCTTCCTACCACACAGGATCACAAGAAATAAAACTCAGAAGGTAGAAAGGGAGAGGATGGAAGGAAAAATGGAAAGAACCACCGAGAAGAACCAGCGTGAAGAGAGATGATACAATGGGATGATTAAAATCAAAGTCAAAAGACAAAAGATAGGGGAGCTCTGGTGGCCTAGTGGCAAGAAGCTGCACTGCAATCCCAGAGGAACACGGTTCGAATCCACTAGACGCTCTGCCGGAGAAGGAGGCGCAATATCCTCCTGTACCAGTCAGATCTGATTTGACAGTACACGCACACAAAATAAAAAAAATTTAAAAAAAGACAAAAGATGTATGAGTGGTTGAATGGAGTAATGATCTGCTCTGTAAACTTTAGCTTAAATCACAGTAAAATAGAGAGCGATTTACTAAAAAACAAACAAACAAACCCAACACTTAAAAGAGAACAGCAATACATATTTTATTTATTTAATTTATTTTTTTACTATATTACTCCTTGGGCGTTAGCTGTGCTCCCGAGAAAAATGAAAGACCTGCCAACTTCAAAATTGTTACCATTTATCATGTTGTTCACTGGTTTATATTCATGCTGGAGGCTGAAGCCTTTTGCTTTCATTGTTGTTGTTGCTATTGAAGCAGAACCAATTCATAGCTGACCCTCTGGTGAGTTTTCAGGGGCTGTAAATCATGTGAGAAGAGCTTGCCCGTGTCAGCATAACTCCTACCACTAGGCTGCTATAGGTTTTTATTCCCAATTTTCTTCTTCCTTCTTCTTCTTCCTCCTCCTTCTCCTCCTCCTCCTCCTCCTTCTTCTTCTTCTTCCTCCTCCTTCTCCTCCTCCTCCTCCTCCTTCTTCTTCTTCTCCTCCTCCTTCTCC